CGCCCGTGTTGTTGTTGTCGTGGCAGCGCGATAGCGCCTCGTAGCCGGAGTGCTTGTGGAGCAGGCGCCGCAGCGTGGCGTTGTAGAGGAGCGTTGCATCGCGCATGCCCTCCGGGTCGAATTCCCAGAGCGAGGCCGCGCGCGTGATGTCGGCGAACACGATCGTCACGTCGGGACCCTCGGGCGGCGACACCAGGTGCTGGGCGGCCCTTCCCTGGCTTTCGTTCTTCTTCTTCTTCTTTGTCTCTCCTTTCCCTTTCATTTTCCTCTTTGATTTCTTTGTCGTCGTCGCCCCTTTGCCCTCCTCCGGCCAGTCGCCCTCGCTCAAGACCCGCAGCTGTTCGGCCGCCACCCGCGACCTGGCCTTTGTGACGGCTGCCTCCTGCGGAGGGCGACTGTCGACGTTGACGACACCTGCTTCGGCGTCATCTTGCTCGTCTACATCGTACACATCGTTGTCGTCATTGTCGACGTCGTCGGCATCGTCATCATCGTCGTCGAAGATGCCGGACGAAGCTTGGACGGCGCACGACGACATATCGGAGGGTTGGCCGGACGATCGGCTGCCGCTGCTGTCGCCGCACTCGAACATGGCGCTGAGGCTGCTCATGATCTCGATGAACGGCGGGCGCACGGCCGGGTCCTGGTGCCAGCAGGCCGCGATGAGCTCGGCGTACTCGAGCGTGCACAGCTCCTCGACGTTGTCCGGCATGCGCGGCCGGAGCCCGTCCCTGATCACCGCCACCGCTACAGCCGCGTGGCTGACAACCATACAATCATGAGCGCGTGTGCCATCAGCCGTGTGCGGTGTCGGTGTCGTGTCGTTGTCGATGTACCTCATGCCGGCGTAGGGCTGCTGTCTGGTGAGCAGCTCCCACAGGATGACGCCGAACGAATAGACGTCGGCCAGGGCCAGGTCGACGCACGGCGATTGGTTGATGAGCTCGGGCGCCGTCCAATGGATGCTGCCGGCGAGTCCGCACTCGCTCCGATTGGGCCGGTGCTTCTCCATGTCCTCCTTGAACTTGGTCAGGCCAAAGTCGGACACCTTGACGTTCCACTTGGAGTCCAACAGCAGATTGAGCGACTTCAGGTCCCGATGCACAATTCCTGTCGTGTCGTGCGTAGCGTCAGTCCAAAGAGCCGACGAGAAGTAACGAAGATGATGACGATAGCAAGATGAAGAGGCGAATGATACCGGAGGAGTGGAGGAAGTGCATGCCCTTGGCACCTTGGTAGGCCATCTTGGCCTTCAGCTCGAATGGGATCTTACCAATCAGCTCGTTGTGTAGAAGCTGCGGCGCGCACGGCGAGTTGACACCGCGATGTAAGTGAGGATCTCCCCTACTATCAGCCTGCGCGTCACATGTGCCAGGCGTCGTCGTGTCGTACCTCATAGAGGGAACCGAGCGACATGTACTCCATCACGATGCACATACGCGGCGCTTTGGTCGACGCGGCCATGAAGAGCACCACGTTGGGGTGCCGCAACGTCGTCATTAGTCGGACCTGGTGGGTGGCCAGTCAAGTGAGGCAACGCCCAAGGCGCAAAAAAGAGAGGAAAAAGATAACTAAACAAAACAAACCAAAACAGGCAGGCGAGGAAGCGGCGTTGGCGGTGGTGCAGGGTCGTA